CGCCTCAGGAGGGGGAAGCAGTGCCCTGCCGAAAATGTTTACAGTGGAGGAGGGCAGCTGTTGACCTCAACTGGGGATATTGTCGGACGGTGGAAGGAATACTTCGAGGATCTCCTCAATCCCGGCGCCATGTCTTCCGATGAGGAAGCAGAGGCTGAGGGCTCAGAGGTGGACTCGTCCATCACCCAAGCTGAAGTCACTGAGGTAGTCAAGAAGCTCCTCGGTGGCAAGGCACCGGGGGTGGATGAGATCCACCCTGAGTACCTTAAGTCTCTGGATGTTGTTGGGCTGTCTTGGTTGACACGCCTCTGCAACGTTGCATGGTGGTCGGGGACAGTGCCTCTGGACTATTTGTATGGATGCTGATTCAGCATCCATACAAATATAAAGTAGATGAGCAATAATACAAATCTAAATGGGCATTAACACATATCTAAATCACTTTAAAGCAGCAGGTGAAGGAAGCAAATAAAAATACAACAGGAACACCTCACACGTGAGCACAACATGATCAGTGCACGCCCATCTAATGATCTGTAAATATGTTTTAAAGAACTGCACACAGAGAATTGTTTTTATACATCTGTAAATCTAGATTTTATTTGTAGATTACTGAACACACACTTGTGGCCTTCATGAGATGCACAGATTGATTTTTACACATTTATAACCTTGACTGAGTTTGTAAGTCTCTGAATACACACTGCTCGCTACTTATGAGAGGATATTATCCCATATGATTGCAGCCTCTCACTAGTAACTACAATAAACAGTGTCAATCAGCATTTTCCTTTGGGGTTTTAAACCACTGCCATATACACACCCACTTTGATCCTCTGTAATAAAACTATCTGGAAGCACACACACACAGATAATAAGCAGTCATGAAGTTGACTGACAAGTTGAACTGAATTTAAACCGTGTTTATGGTGACTGAGTAAACAAGAGTTGAAACCGGATTGGCCCTCTCGGCCGTTCACCTCTTGGCCAGCAGCCTCATGAGCTTGTTTATGATGAGCTGCAGGGTAGATGGCACGTAGACTGCACCAACACTCCAGGTACGTTACTTTGAGTCTAATAAACTCCTAAATTATTACAATTTAACTTAAAAAAAATTTTTTTATTCATAGAAATGTCCTGCTCAGAAACAAAAATAAAATTCATGTGGGTGTGTTAAATCACATGTCCAGATTGGTTTCATGTTTTATCAGTTGGTTAATAGTTTTTTTAAAGTGTTGCACTTTAGGCACTGATTCCCCCCAAACTGTCAGGCTTCAGGTTTGAGAGTTTGAGTCTGTGTTTAACTGCAGCTTTTGCTTAGAGGAAATGCGCCGGTGGTACTGAAGCCACTAACGGACACCACACAGTACCACAAAAGTTTCATGTGAAACTGCAACAAACTAAGGAGGAGATAAAGTAGAAATGAAAGCTTGAACATGCTGTGTTTGAGTTTTGCAAAGCCTGAAAACCAGAATCCAGATTTGCTGAAACAAATTAAATTTTTCATTTTTTTACTTTTTAGTGCTAAAATTTGTTGGTCAAGGGTCTGGTCAGAGAGTTTGACGTATAGGTGCAGCAGGTTAAACTTTAAGGTTTGGTCACCCACCCTGAAATCCATTAATAAACTGTGTATATTGCTATTTAGCAGGTGCAGCCTTTACCATGTTCACCTTCTTTATTTATCATGTTAGCACGCTAACAATTGCTAATTAGCATTAACCACAAAGTACAGCTAAGGCTGATGAGACTGTGACTAGTTTTGCAGGTATTTGGTCATAAACCAAAGTCCTGCACATGTGATGATGACCAGAGCCCATAGGATTTGTCCTCCTGGACCATGAATGTTTGTATCAAAGTTTATGCCAATCACTCCCAGAGTTGCTGAGACATTTTTAACGTGGAGCCAAGCTGTGGCTCAAGCAACCGACACTGTCAGTGCAGCTGTGCTGCTAGTATCTAAAACCTGATTGTTAATGTGTTTGTCAAAAACTATCACATGTACAAATCACTGAAAGGCAAGTTTAAATAATTTGTTCAGATCTCATGAAGACTTGGTGTCATGTGACTGTAACTCTGTTATGAAGCATCCATTGTGTGCTGATACAACAGATGGACTACTGAACAGACTGAAGTGGCCCAGAGCTTCACCTGCAAAGTGTCAGAGAGACACAAAACAACCACAAAGAGCTGCAAATGGCTACCTGTTTGTGCAGAGGGGCCCTGATTCATCCACCACTTACACCTGCTTTACATGTGAAGTTATTTGTTGACGAGCACATATCTGCTAAACACATGAACATGTTCTGCTGGGAGCCACTGGCCACACATCTGAAACTAATTTTTGATCTTACACAGTTTTGAATAGCACAGCTCTGGAATCCTCTGTGACTCACACTGTCCTAAACTGACTCACCTGGCTAAATGAAGTTCAGGGTTACCCTATATCATAATATCATATTCATCATACAAGAAAAAAACAACAAGAAAAGGAAAATAATTTGGAATTAAAGATAAAACTACTGACAGAATCATATTCAAACAACCCTAAAGAACGAATACAAAATGAATTGAACCACCTCAATACTGAAAGTAACAACTCAAATAGGAACAGTTTCAATATAGTAAGAAAATAGGTAAATATTTGGCAAATCAACTACAATGTAAAAAAAAAAAAGGCAATCATTACATTCATAATTCACAGGATATTAGCAATGTATTTCCAGCCTTTTATAGCACATTATACTCTTCTGGTCACCAACCAAATCTATCTGAAATAGATATTTTCCTAAACAATATAAAATTACCAACACTATCCAGAGAACAAACCGATACCCTAGATGCCCCCATCATTTTGGATGAATTCCATAAAGCACTGAAATCCATGCCAAATAATAAATCACCTGGACCTGACAGATTCCCTGCTGAGTTTTATAAACACTTCTGGCAGATTCTATCACCGCTATTTCTCAGAGTTACCACAGAAATTAAAACCACCTCCACAGTACTGACACATATGAATATGGCCGCCTGCCATGACACTCCTGCTGGAACCCAATAAAGACCTAACCCACCCTTCCAGTTACCATCCTATCTCACTTATTAACACAGATTTAAAAATGATCACCAAAGCACTAGCCACTAGAATAGAGACAGTTACTCCAATAATAATCCACCCAGACCAAACGGGCTTCATTAAAAGTAGACACGCTTTGGATAACACCCATAAACTATTTAACTTAATCAGTCTTGCACAACAAAAACAAACTGTCACCATAATTGTATCATTAGATGCAGAAAAAGCATTCGACAAAGTTAACTGGTCATTTCTCTTCAGCACACTACACAGGTTTGGTTTTGGAGAGTCCGTCATCCACTCGATTAAAATTCTACATCATTTAGAGCTACAATAACCACAAATGGAATAACCTCGCAAAGTTTCACACTTCACCGGGGAACCAGACAAGGATGCCCACTCTCACCATCTCTATTCAACATTTTCATTGAACCTCTAGCAGCAGCGATATGACTGAATAATAGCATCAAATAATACAAGATACTAACTCAACATAAAATTAGCTTCTATGCAGATGATTTATTATTATATTTACAGGACCCCTACAGTTCACTACAGGAAACTTTCTCCATTATTAATACATTCTCCATTTGTTAATTTTATATACTTTTGTTTTATGAATATACACATATATCTGGGTATATATATATAAGTATGTGTATGCAAAAAGTATATATTGTATTTATATGATTGAAATTGCTTTATTCTTTTTTGTGTTTTATCTCTTTTTAATTGTTTCATTACTACAATCATCCATTTTCTATCAACTGCCTTTTCTTTCCTCTACATTGAACCCCCTGCCCCCAGTTTCTTAATTTATTTGGTTTACAGTAATATTATAATTTTTTTCCCCCAATAAATACTGAATACTGAAACAATTGCTCATTGTTTCCTGTGGCCCAACTTGGGTCTCCTCCCCTGTGACTCACATTGTCATGAACTGCACTGTACAGCTGCTTCACAGAGGACTCAGACCCCTTCACTCACAGTAACAAGGTAAAAACGGTCTCATCGTAGGTAATTCACACATTTATTACAAAGCTAAACCTTGCATTTATCAAAGTATTCAGAGCCTGAGCTGAGCATTGTGGTATGGTGCATCCGGTTTGCTTTGCACCTCTGGAAATAAGCAAATCTATGAACTGCCGCCAAAACCCAATATCATAGGCCGTTGCTCAGAAAACTGCTGTGGAAAAACTCTGCAGGGATCCTTCGCCCAAAAAAGAAGCAGAAGCATGTTCTTGTGATGTTTCCTGCATGTGTCCATTTTATTCAATATGATGTTTGTGGCTCAATTTTTCCTCTCCGCTGTCGCCAAGCGCTGCTCAAGAAAGATTTGTTGGGTTTTTCCTCTATAATATCAATAATAGTAAGGTCTAGACGTTACTCTTTAAAGTGTTCTGAGACGACTTTTGTTGTGATTTGGCGCTATACAAATAAAACTGGATTAAGTTGAGTTGAACTGGCTGGTTCCTGACTGCAGGAGTCCCTGCACCAGACGGCATCTTCCAAACCTCAATCGTGTCAAAACCAAGGCAGCGATCTGAGCAACTCTTCAGCTGCCACGTCTTTGCTTTCATTCAAACATAGCTACACAATTCCTGAGCTTTCATGCTGAATATGCTGATATTCAGATGCTGCTAGAAATATTAAATGTTGTCTTTTTGAAGTAAAAAAAAAAAAAAACACGAGTGACTCGGGCCTGTTTTATTTGTTCATTATTGAGCCTGTGATTATTAAAGCACAGGTCTTAACTGTGGCTGTCATAACGTCACTGTGCTGTAAAGATGTGACTTCCATGTTGCACCGATGTGATTATATATACAGATACAAGGATGAGTAAATGTGCAGGAAAAACACCTGCAGCTATAATGGAGATGACAACTGATCGAATCAGCGACTGATTTCTGGTGTTTTCCAGGCCGCCATGCTGCTGATCCCAGACCTCATCAAGAAGAAGAGAAATGGAGGAGTGCTGAGTGATGACGACATCAAAACTTTCATCCAGGCTGTGACAGATAAAACCATCCAGGACTGTCAGACAGGTACGAACAGGTCTTCAACATGAACCCGCATCATCATCAGTGGTCTCCATTTCCTTTGTCTTTGTCTGTTGAAGGGGCGATGCTGATGGCAATCTGGCAAAAGGGGATGGTTACCAAGGAGACAGAGGCCCTGACCAGAGAGATGATGTTATCGGGGGAAGTGATGTCATGGCCAAAGGAGTGGGCAGGCCGAGTGGTTGATAAACACTCCACAGGGGGAGTAGGAGATAAAGTCAGTTTGGTGCTGACACCTGCACTCGCTGCCTGTGGCTGTAAGGTAGATGTTTCTGAAAGCCATCTCATTTGCCTTCATATGTAGACTCACTGGTTTCCATCTCTGAGTGTCCGGTGTAACCAGTTTATGACTCATGCATTATCGCAACTATTGGCGCAACTTTAACAATGCGCCCTCCGAGGCAAACGTGTTTGCGCGTTCCACTCTCGAATGCCGGCTCTTTCTTCGTTTTCTTCTTTTTTGTGTTTTTTTACTCTTTCTGCAGTGCACAAATGTCATGCACTGCTAACATACAACAGACAGGCATTGCTGAATATCGCCAACTCATACAGCCACTGGGAATTTACTGGTTTCATACCACCAGAGCTACAACTCATTGTTCGCTCCCGCAACAACCACCATCACCCTCAGGAAGCCCCCGAAGCACCGGGCAAGAGCGAGCAGGCTGAAATCAGGAGAGC